CGGGCGGCCGCCCGGATCGCCCTGGTTCTATCCCCTGAGCTGCCACGGCTTCCTAAAATTATATTGTGTTTTATATGAACAATCAGGTACATAAAAATATTAAGATTGCTTTGAAATATAAATATTGAAGAAATAAATAATGAACAAACGCCAACACGATTGAGAAATAAAATTGAATTTGATTTTATGATAGAATAAAAGTTTCATGCATACACAATACAGGCTACGTTTTTTTTTATTTCGACTCACCATTGCTTAAAATTCAGTTTGCTCTTCCAAAGACGCAACGTTATTTTTTAACATCCATTTAAAATGTCTGCACCTTACAGTTCATCTCAATATAGCGAGTGAAATTCACTTAAATCTTTGTTTATTTCCTTAAAAACTACTTCCTAAATGCGTGTCAATTGTTCAAAAAAATATATTGCTTTTTACGAGTCATTTGATTTAACAAAAGTTGTAATGAGATTGTTAGGACCACTTTATCTTTCGAAGTTTCCGTACATAAAACATTTTGAATTCTTTTTAAATGAAATATGAGCAACACTACTATTAGTCTCCTGCTGTTTATATTCTTTACATATATGACGTATTCCTAGCGAAATTTTTCGAATTTATCGCAGTGCTGTGGTTTTGACGCGCTGTCCTAGATTACTCTGCCACTTTTTTTCTAGTAATGTTATGTTAAAATATTTGAAACTATTCTAAAATATAATTCAGAATTATTGTCATAATTATTAATACGCAGAGTAGGATTTAATGAAAATATGCAATCCTTTAAAGATGATACCAATAAAGTTTACAAAAGCTTGTTGTTATACAATCTCAAAACTTTTTATTACTCTTGTTATAAGACTTGGTACAGTTTTACAAACAAATTGATCTGTTACGTTAACCATTCGAAAGTTTTCAAGGGCAAGAGAAAATTTTAAAGTTACTTCTTTTGATTGTTGTTCGTTAAAAAGAGATTTATGAGTAATTTACGAATTAAAATGATTCTTTTCTCTTGTCTAAATCTTAGGACAAAAAAAAAATGAAAAAAAAAAATACACTTGCAAATTTATTTAACTTTCCATACTCTTTGTAAATAGTTACGCAGTTTTCAGCCTCTGTTATCATGGTTAGAGAAAATCTAGCTTTTCTCCGTGGCAGCATGATTTAATACTCTGTTGCAAGTTATGAAAAGACCATTGCAGCTTAGGATTTAAATAGTCATTCGAGACTGCAAGTAGTTCCGTTTTATTTCGTCATCGAACTTTACAAATATGCTTTCAAAACTATATAAAAGATTTTAAAAGTCAAATACGTCTGACAGAAATTCAATTGATGCTATCTTTTACAACATATATCACAGAATTGTTCATTATAGTGGGATCAGATATAGTAGCTCCTGACCTTTTAAACAACAGCAGAATAATCTTTTAGAATAAAAAAGGGTCATTCAAAAACCTTTAAATACTGAGTTTTTTTTTTTTTAACAGATTTTAATTGAGTTTATTTAAATAGGAAATGTACGCACCTTACAGGCATCAATTCTGTTATTAACCGTATCCCTGATTAAATTTTATTTTATAACCGTCGTTGAACAGTCGACCCAATTTTATGGGTTTACGACTACTTACGTTCAACTCCATAGCCTTTGTCATTTTGAACCCAATGCAGAAGACAAGGGAACTCCTGGATCGAGTATTGGGAGAAATTTGCCTTTGTGGAGGACTTTTTGATGGAGCTAACCCGCATTTGCGTTACGTGAAGAGGAAGACCATGAGAATCTCCCACGGTTAGCCTGACGGCAAGGGGACTCTAACTCATGATCCGTCTACCACTGAGGATATTTCACGTCAGCACTGTGGTCGGTGCAAACCGGATGCGCAATTCGTATCGACTGAGATTCGAACCCGGTTCGCCACATTGGAAGGCGAAAACTCTATCCCCAGAGCCACCGGGAATGTATACAGTGCAAATATTTATTACCCCGAGAAAACTCGGGGCATAGCAGAATTCGTCAATACGTTTTGTTTTATCACATTTTCATTCAGCCGGAAGCAAAACAAAAAAATCATAATAATCTGCTGTGACTGGAATTTTTGTTCGGGAGCTTTGCTATTTGTGGGAGTGCAGACGTGTTTTTTATAATTGTATATACGATGGTTGATGAATTTTCATAGAAGGAAGAAAAAGAGAGAGAGAGAAAAAAAAAGAGTAAAAAAAAAANAAAAAAGAGAGAGAGAGAAAAAAAAAAAAAGGCCTTCGCGAGCTAAAGTAATGCAGATGATTTTTCAGATGTGAACCTATACAAAGACTCATATTTAACTTCTTTTTTATTTGCCCGAGATTATTTGGGATAGTAAACTGATAGTAAATTAAATAATTTTTTCACATAAAAATAAAATGTCAACTTAGAATTTGTGTATTATGTTTTGTTTTAGTTCCTTGTATTTATTAATGAAATGATAAAATATGTTGATTTTTTGCATTTTTTTTTTCCTTCAAAAAAATTGGTAAGGGAAGCTGTTAAAAATTTCTTAGTAAGTATTCTTAGTATATTTCTTAGCATTGCAGAATTAAATCTAGATATATTTACTAACAAGGGAAACTAGGGAAGTGTGACTCGCCAATTTTGAAATAAACTAGTGGGATGTATGCCTTATGAGGAATTATTTTAGGGGGCAACATTCGTTTCGGCCCATAGAAGGTCCTGTGAGAGATAAAAAATAATTCAATATAGAGAAAAATCGGTATTTTATTACTTCAATGCAGACTATTAGTTATTGTAATTGTCTCATACTCCAATTAATTTTGTGGTACTTTCACATACTATATAATGCATATTTATTGTCAAAATTGATTTCGAAAATTTTATATATCTGTAGCTTTTCAGAAAAACGTGTTAGGTTAATTTAAAAAAAAAAATTTTGACTTCAAATTTTTTTCCCCAAAAAACTTTCCAAATTAATTGGAGTATTTAATTGCGAATCAATTAATTAACTAACAATTCATTAATTAATAACAATTAATTAATTTTCTGATTATATTATTAATTAGCAAATTAATCAATTAATTACAAATTAATTGGAGTATGAGACAATTACAATAACTAATAGTCTGCATTGAAGTAATAAAATACCGATTTTTCTATATATATTGAATTATTTTTTATCTCTCACAGAACCTTCTATGGGCCGAAACAAATGTTGCCCCCTAAAATTATTCCTCATAAGGCATACATCCCATTAGCTTATTTCAAAATTGGCGAGTCACACTTCCCTAGTTTCCCTTGTAAGAGTTAGAAAGTTTTCTGGTAATTATGAACATAATATAGTAAATTTTTTTAAAATTAATATTGCTAGCGCATTTTAAATTTTTCCAGTTGTTTATGGACATTGTAAGAGGCAATGTTAAAAAAATGCGAATTATATTTAGGAAGAAGGACATTTCTTTCCCCTGTAAGCAAACTATGTAAATTTTATCTCTCTTTACTGTAAGAATAACTTGTTAAATCTTTAAAAAAAAAATTGTCTACCATAGAGCAGAGTTCTCACTAAGAATAAAAAAGGGTAAGGAAAGGACCCTTCCAGGAAAGGGCACTATAAGTTTTGAAAGTTAGCGCTGATAAGTTTATCATTCAACACCGTAAAAATTTATGAAACTGTGTAATATTATGCAATAACCCCTGAGGCAGAATTTTTTCGGCTTTCTGCGACAAAACTCTCCAGCACTACTGCAAGATACTTCTAATAATCGGACTCTTCAGAAAGGGGTTACTCAAATGCAATGTTTTGTTTCAAGATTTGATTGTTGTAATAAATAATACCATATAGAAAATATTGGGTTTTAAAAACTATGTGGAAATCAAAAGCAATAACTGCTAAAGAAATCGATAGTATCATTGGCTTAAAAAGTAAATGATCAAATGCGCAATTCGAATTTCCCATATCGTCTGAATGAAATATATCGGGATATCTAAAAACCACTTGAAAATCAATGTCAACTGCCGAAAATACAATCAAAATGGATTTACAGTATCTGCATAAATTGAGCACTTCAAAAAGTGATTATTTAAACGCGTGATTCAAATTTTGGGTGTAAATGTCTGCTGAAAAGCAAACCAAAATGAGGCCGCGATTCTGCCACGGGCTAATAACTGATATTAATTCTCGATAATATTTTAATTACCCTCTTATACTATTTCGTGTGTATATTTCAAAAAATAATTCTCTCTCATTATCAGAATTAGAGAAAAATTTGTAGTTAAAAAATAATTAAAGGCATGCTAATAGAGAATCTCTGGACATAATTTTTTTTTCAAAAAAGTAAACTAAAGAAAATTACTAATTGATGAACAACTTGAAAGATTTTTAAATAATTTAAGCTGAAAATTATGAGAAAATAAACATTTAAATTTTAAAACCATTAAAAAATTTACTAATATCCCCCCCCCCCAAAAAAAAATNCCCCCCCCCCCCGAAAAAAATAAGATGTGAGAAATTGAGTAATTTGCGTACGAAAAATTTAGTGAGTTGAGATTAATTATTGGAATATTTGTAATAATATATTTGTAATGAACGAGTTAGAATAATTGCAATAGTAATCAGAATTAAACCTATAAACACTGATAATTTTACCAGTGCTTAATTATTATTTAAATAGCGAATTAATTTTTTTAAAAATGGAACATCAATAAAAAGGCGATGTTTCTAACGGATGGCGGTTTATTTTTACAAAAATTACAAAGAGGGTGCATTTATAGGGATCAAAGGGAAAATCACCCTTCTAAAAACGCTTAGGGAGAACACTAATATAGTTTAAAGTTATTTTCTTTTCAAATAACAATAATTTTAAAAAATAAGAAATCGAAAAGCATAAATAATTAGTGTGGTTTAAAAGCAATTTTGAATTCAAATTAAAAAAAAAAAAAACATAATTTAAAGAAGAATAAACAATTTGAAATTTTCATATTCTGATAGGAAGAAAAGAAAAATAAGCATTTTTTAAGAGCCTTAAAAGTAGATAAAAACTTTTATTGATTTTGAAAAGCAGTACAAAACTTGAAAATTCCTATCTGAAAATCATTACAATCAAATTACTTAAAATTCGTTTGATAAGAAGTAAAGTGAACTTCTATGTAGTGAAACATGGAACTATTTACAGTGAAATAACACAAATATTTTCCAAACACAGCTTTTTAATTTGAACTCAAAGATTGTAAAAAAAAATTCAATTTGGTTATTTTAAATTAACAAAAATAGGAATTGAATGAATTTAACAAAAATACAAAACAAGAAATAAAACTTATCTAAATTTTTAAATGATACATTCAACAATAAAATAAGAATATACTTTCTGTTCAGAAATTTATAATTTTTCTACTAAAATTCATTTTTTAGCTATGTAATCCATTTATAATGCATATTATAAGCTCAGTAATTATGATTTGCATGAGCAAGTTGCAATTACAAAGAGTGATTGTATTCTGGATGTAACCAGGCATTCCGTATCATCCCCCCAGGTCTAGAAACTAGGGGCAGAGCATGTGACTTTTTCGCGGAATTCCGCGTATCTCAAGAATATTGATTCACCAATTTCCGCGCATCAAAACATATAATTAGATGGATTTTGAATTGTGTTAACGAGATGTTAATACACATGACTCTTCCGCAATTGTGACTATTATTATTTGGTTTGTTGCATTTTTATTATTTTAATATCTGAAACTGCGTTGGAATCCGCCAATATTGTGATTCATATTTATCTGATTTGAAAGTTACTTATTATGAACCGAATTCATGTGATCTATAAATCGAACATCGTGTCCTCGTAATTTAAAAATCCAATGTCTCAATTTATATTTACAAGTTTTTGAAATCAATATCTTGTTTCGTATTTACGCAAGTTTAAAATCCTATGTCGCTATTCATATGTACAGGATCTAAAAATCATGCATTGCGATTCCTACTAATGTGATTCAAAAATCCAATATCACAATTCATGTATGTAATTTAATTATAAATCTTAGTTCAAAAAATTACATTAAATATGAATAGTACATAAACTGCTATCTTGTTATTGAGTTTTTGCACACTGTTGAATTGTTTGTTCGAGTTAGCAACTTTCAAGGTTTTTCACTTTCACAATTACCCCTCAATTACAATCGAAAGCTATTTTCAAGAAAATATTAATGAATTGTATTTTGCAATAAATAGAAAAATGTGGGTACTATTCTGTTTAGGGGGAAAAAATATGCAATTTTCTGCAACTTGGATTTCAAACTTATAGAAAATATAGAGAAAAAAATTCAAATTAAAAAGAAAAGTCTAAATTATAAATAAAAATAGAAAAGTTGTGCAAAACAGATTTCATGTGAATTGACATCAAAAAGCATGCAGTGCTGTAGCTCATTCATAAAACATAGTTATTCAAATATATTACTTTGATTCAGTATAAATGCTGTACAAGATTTTATAATACAAATAAATAACAAATTTAGTAAGCAGAAAAATAAATTAAAAATGAAATCATGCACCATAAATAATTAAACAATATTTAATTTAAAAATCATTAATAAATAAATATAATAAAACTATTGTAATCATATTTCTTATTCATATAAGGAAATATGATGTTAATATTTAAAAATTAATCTCATTTCAAGATATAAAGATTTATTATGTCAGAAATAAGGTTTTTTTTATGAATTAAAGTAATTAAGATTAAAAAACTTTTTAGGAAAGAGTTTTAAACTGCATTCTGTCAGTAAATGGGGAAAGTCATAAATATTACAGTTTATTCTCAATAATTAATTTTGTTGAAATATATTAAAAAAAAATTTTTTTTTTTTTGTTCTTTATGTAGCACAAATAAAATTTAAGAAAATAGAACATAGTAATAAAAAAAAGGATGAAACAGATATATAACTTTTAACATGGATTAGGATATGAAAATGCTAAATAAAGTTACAAACAATTTATAACAATCTATCCAGAAACCTTTTTAAAAAAAGTAACATTACTTCGAATTTTGAATACATTTTTGTTTACTATGTAATTAAGCAAATTTTTTTAAAGATTTGCTGCATTTAATGGTAAATAATTAAATCAAATACTTAACATCAAAAATATTTTAAAATCTATACCATTAAACCATCAAATTTTGAACTTGTAGATTAAAAACTTGTGAATTTCAAGATGAAAATGTTATTTTAAAATAAAAACTAAATTGGAATATTACTGAAAGTGCAATATCACATTGAATTTTAAATACATTTCTATTTCCTGTCCTGTAATAATTTTTAATTGTAACAATCAAATTATTTAGTAGGAAATTTAATTTCCAGTTAATTAATTTACTAAAATGGGCAATATCAAATTTTATAAATATCTTAAACAGAATTTCTTATAAAATTACAATATATATTAATGATAGATTAGGACATCAAAATATAAAAGATAACTCAAAAATTTTAATTCGAAAGTATCATTTTGAATTGGAACTTAATTATACCCAAGGATATCAAGAAATATTTCCAAAACAGCAATATTAAATAAATTTGAATAAATAATAAACATATTTTAATGAATTTCCATATCTTATGCCACAGGTAAATATTTTTTTTAATTATAGCATTTAATACGAAATTATAGAATCACATATTGCAATTAATTCATTTTTAATAATAGAATCTAATATTAAAATTTAAAAAACTGTAGAATTTCAATATGAAAATGTCATTTTAAATTTAAAAAAAAAAAAAAACTAATTATAATCAAGTACTTATGGTAAAAAATATTTCCAAAACAGCAATTTTGAATACATTTGTACAAATGATAAACTTATTTGAATAAATTTCCACATCTTATTCAGCAGGTACAATTTTTCCTTTTAGAAAAATATTATAGGAAACAATGGAATCAAATATTGAAATTTAAAAAACTAATTAATCAAGTATATTAATTAAGAAAAATTTATAAAAGAGCAATATTAAATTGAGTTATGAAAAAATTCCCAATCAATATGCAGGTTAGAAATTCTTTTAATTGATTAAATTATGTTAAAAGCAATAATATAAAAAATTGAACCTTTGAAAATTCAAGAATTTCAACAAGCAAATGTTAATTTAAGTTAAAAACTAATTATCGAAATATAGTAATTTAAAACCTAAAAAAGCAACTTCAAATTGAGTTTTGTATCAAAAGAACTTCAATTTTTTTTTTTAAAAAAAAAGCATATCAATTTAAAAATCAAATCATGGTGTGCATTGAGTTGCTTCTCAGCTTTGAGCGACCTTTACAGTCGCTACCCCATGATTTGGATTTGGCTCTAAAATGGCGTAGCTCAAAACCATGATCCTTGTGATTCATTGGTTTATAATCCTGGGGTTCACAATAATCTCGATAGTTTTCAAAAAAAGCTTTATAACCTCCTTCTAACAAGTACATTTCTGGATGGTGCAGCCGAGGATAATGACCTTCGTTCATCTCACGATCTTTCCGTCGTAAGAATCTGCAGAGTGTGGGTGCACGTTCTGATGAAAATTCACAATGAAAAATGATTGCATTCTTTTGATTGTTGCAGGTGTATGTACTGAAAAATGTTGAAACTATGTCCTCTTTAGTGAAAATATTCTTTGCACCTTTTATATGTCCGCCTTCAAATTCATAAGGATATCTAAAACATAATGAATGGTGACAATTAGTTTTGGGGCAACACTTATCACATAAGGTTAACAAAAATTATTTTTGTTAAAAAAAAAAGATATTTTTTTTAAAAATTTAAACTAAATTGTTTTACATTCTTCAGCTGAAAAAATGTTTATTTAAAAATACATATTATTTAAGAACACCATTAAAGCTAAAATAATGAAAATTTTTTCAACTAAAATGATTAAAATTAGTATTTAATTACCACAAACTAATCACTAAATAAAATAAAAACAATTTAAGCAATGTCTACACTTACATGAATTGTATTCAAACTTCATTATTCATATACACTAACTGCATATTTGTTAAGTTTTAAAAGTGTATATATTTAATTAAATTTAAAACTAAATGGGAAGAATTTAAACATGTTTATTGAAATCAAATTATTTGATATACACATAATGGAAAATTATAATTTAAATGTTTCATAAGTCACTTTAATCCACATTTAATTTATTTATCATTCGATTTCGAACATCAATTAAAAATTTAAAAACATTTCCCTTTTATAACTTCTCAAGACAAAACCTTCATTATCAATAAAATCAGACTTTGAAAAATTTTTTAAAAAAAAGTCACAACCTTACTCATAAATTTTTTTTTTAGCTTAAATATTAATGCTCTGAAAAATCAAATGTAAAAGTTCAAGGAAAAATAGGGTAGTTAATTTTGTTGCCCAAATAACTGAAATTGAGAAAGAAACAGACAATGTGCATTATGTTTTTTAACACAGTCTGGTAGAATAAAAACTTTCAAATATAACTACAAAGATGTAGCATGGATTCACATGCCACATATTATAGCAATGTTGCCAACTCTAACTTCAAACAATCAAAGTGTAAATTTTGACAGTGATATTTCCCTTTTATTATTTGTAAATTTGTCTCATCTGTTACATTTCATGTCCTTTCTATTACTACAATGCATTATTCAAACTTAAAAAAAATGTGTTCACACAATTTTCAAAGTCTAACAATAATGTATTTTACCTTGAAATGTGATAACTTAAAAAAAAAAAACTAATAATAATGTTTAGGATGGTCCAAATCACAGAATTTAGTGTAAATAACAGCGCATATCAAAAATGTGGGATTTTATTTGTCCCCTCCATTACAAGTACTTTTAATTAGCTTGCAATTTAATTATGAGGCTCTTTTATTATTTCATGCCAATTAATTAAACATTGTACCCTAAAGTAGCATATTCTTCCAGAAATGTTTGTTTTTAGATATATTTAATATATTTCTTAGAACAAAATACTTATGTGATTTCCCTTCTGTAACGCTTGGAATCTATTAAAAATTGTCTAACAAAATTTTATTTGGTTCCATTTTCAGTTACTTAATTTTGGCAGAAAGTAGTGAAATCGGATAGAAAATTAAGACTTTTTCCTCACTAAAGAAATGCATTTTTTCTCCAGTTGAGAATGACAGAAAAGCTACCTGTCGGAAATGAAAGAAAAACGGTAGTTTCACAAAATACTTTTTCATAAAATTTTATTTTTGTATCCTTTACGAAACGATAAATTTATATTTAAACCATGTTTTAGTGCTGATTTTTTAATTTAATTTTTCACAAATTATGTCTAAATTTTCACAAAATAGGTACCTCTCAGAAAAACCTAGACAGACCCCTGACTATATTTTTTAGCTACAATCACTCACTCTAAAACTCACATAATTAGTTCTGATTATATATACAATATCAATAATTTTGAATTATTGGACAATTCGTTATGTTTTTGAAATTTTTTGGAAAATGTTTTGAAAACAGTCAATGCACCAAAATAAAGAAGTATAGCAAAATCTAAAGAGTTCTGAATGCTAGTTGCAGATTTTCAAACATGTCTTGCAAGTAGTGCTGCAGAATATATTTGAGAGTAATCAACTCAAACTTTTCTTTTGTTTCATTAAAAATCAGAAATTGTTTGCAATTATCCCTAAAAAACTAGTCTATTGCTATAACTACACTTAACCGCTTCCCTGACTATCCCGAGTTAACTCAGGTACGTATGTATTGCAAATAATTATCATCCTGAGAAAACTCGGGTGTAGCAAAATTTGTCAGCACAGTTTGTTTTATCACGTTTTTACTCGGTGGGAAGCAAAAAACATTATCTTATGTGACTGGAAGTTTGCCAAGCTTTATTTTAGAGTTTTGCTGTCGGACTGCACACGTGTTTTGTTGCGATTGTATATACGATGGTTGCTGAATTTACAAAGCAATAAGAGTAAAAAAAATGGCGTATTCCTTCATTAACGTTTAAAAAGTATCACTTTATGTTGTCACTTATTTAAAGACTAATATACAAAGACTAATATTTAACATTTTTCATTTGCCCGAGATAATTCGGGATAGTAAATTGTTTCTTACACATAAAAAAAAATTTAAAATTTCAACTTAAAACTCGTGTATTATGTTTTGTTTCAGCTGCTTGACTTCATTAATTAAATAACAAAAAAAAATATGTTGATTTTTTGCATTTTTTTTAAAAATAATTGGTAAGGGAAATAGTTGATCAATAAGAAAAGGTTTTGTTGAAGATTTTACTTGTTAAAAGGTAGTTAAAAACTTGAATTTTTCACTATACCAACCTGCAATCAACAAGAATAAAATTTTCAATTTCATCCTTGTAATTGCCCTTTAAAAGTTCAACTAATGTTTGAGGTGCGATGCTTTTCAAATCTTCATGTCGTCCTTTACAAAGAGGCAAAGCGTAGGATCTGCTACCATCCCCCACTAACTCTGGCTGCAGATCTGCCTTTAAGAGTGCATGCATGATAGTGGCCGCAGTCTCAGAATAGGATCGCTGGAAAACAAAATTATCTCGTTCTTTATCACCAATGGAAGGTGAACTTTTTCTTCTCTTGTTATATGACATTAAATTGTTAATTGGTGGCTCTGGCCGTTTGAAAATATTTCTGGTTTGAACTTCATTGACGAATGATTTTCTTTGAGGATTCAACGGAGCAATAAAAGTCTCCCTCTTCGAAGTACTCTCAGACGAAGAGGAGTCCGATTCACTGTCCATTTCCATTGACAGACAGCGACGAATGGGCAGCTTGCCTTGGCGTTTGACGGAGGGAGACAGAGGGGAGTCGTGACATCTCAATAAAGGTTTAGTCAACAGATGGGACATGCAGGGAGGTACAGGTGAAAGATGCTCAACCCCATCTGTTTCTTTGAGTTCAAAAATGCTTTCAAAACCATCCTCCTCTTCGTCCGACGAAAAGGAAATTTTGCAAGTGGGCAATGGACTGAGAGGAGATTCCAAATAATGACAGCCCGAGTAGCCGCTGTCTTGAGATCTGCAGGGCATGCTTTCATCGTGCTTTTTCGATTGAGAACTTATAGAGTAATTATTAAGGGGAACAATGTTTTCTTTGTCATCATCGCTGTCAGAAGGTAGTGCGTTTGAAATAAATTTTCGTACTTTGTATTTTATCTTGCCTCTGCGAGGAAATATCCCTTGAAACGTTGGTGAATCAGCGCATGATAGTTCCTGAGGAGGAATGGAAATATTAGTTTCTTTAGAAATCGGGTTGGACCAAGATATGCGGCGGATTGGGGTTCCAGAATTAGCTGTCGATAAACCACTCAGATTTAGTGATAGATTGGTTATTGGTGATAAATTGGCAATTCCCGGAAAGTCCGATTTGTTTTTATCTTTGGCACAAGATGGATATATTTCAATAGAATTAGAATTCATGGTAAAATAAGAATGGACTATCAATAAAATTTAGTATTGGCTAAAGGACTTTCATTGATGTTAACTGACAGTACATGATAAATTATAACACACTTGATGAAACATAATTATTGTTCAGGCAAAAGCAGGATTCTGGAATTTACTTATAACTGTATTTATGAAAGAAAAAAAATTGCAATTGCCTGGTTGTTTAAAATTACCGCCACCACCCTTGTAAAATGAAAATATTTGAATGTCAACAGCAGGTCAGTAGCAAATCAGCGTAAAGAACAGATTTTCCTGTTGTTGCCATTTTTTTTTAAATATATACGAAAAGTAAGATTTTTAATTGTAATCAGAAAAAAGTATTATATTTTATAATTAATAGAAATTTTTGAGTTAAAAAACATTATTTAAAATTGTTATAAATCTAACAGCCATTGGTTTTGTAATACTTATCTTTTAATAAGCACTCATTATATACGAGTTTGAGGGTGGCAATAAAGACGAAAGTAAATAAATATGGAGTTGTGTTTTCAGCAGATCGAAGTGTTCAGAATTTATTAAGTATAAAAAATAGCCTTTCTAATACAGTTGTTAGAAATTTATTTTATTAAAAACATTTGAGACCTTATAGCAATGTTATTTGTAGGTTCATAAATATAAAATTGAAATTAATATTATTTTGTCGATCCGCAAAAAAGGATTTTGAATTGCCAAATGATTTTCAACTTTTTAAAATTTTGTTTCATATAAAATGAAATATTTTAGTTTTCGCACAGCTAAAATGCTTCTAACTGATGGATTTTTGCCGTTGATATGATAATCCCCCCTAACTAAGTATATGTTATAAAATTTTTGAATGTTAACTTAAAATATTTAAATGATTTACCGTATATCATATCTAATACAATTTGTTTAGCTTATAATTTTGAAGATAATATAACTATCTTTAATTTTCAAAAATAAGTTTTTAACTTAAAATATATGAGTTCTAGAAAAAACACTAAAAACAAGAAAACTATAAATATCTTGTAGAGGAGCTACATTGTAGCTTTAAAAAAGAAATGCATAAAGTTTTGCATTGTGTATTATAATAAAGTAGACATCTTATTAAATGATTTAATGAATAATTTATTTAATAATTTTGGTCTTTAAAGTCAGATCCTTACTCTGATCAAGTTTAAAATTCCTTTTTTTTTCAGTCCATCTATTTCTTTTATTAGTTCTTATCTAGTTTTGGCTGAAAATCTTTCACACACACATCAATTGATAATGATACTGGCATTGCTTTTTTGAAGATTGATGTAATTAGGAAAATTCATCTGGTCTGTTGGTGTTTTGAGCAGGGATAATATGATCACCAAGGTGCCAGAAGGTTTTTTTAATTGAATTTTTTAAAATAATAGTAATGTTTTGCCTAACCTTATAAAGTAATTACTAATCTCCAAGTAATTATTTTATGTGTATTCCAATTATTCAATGCATAAAATGTGTTTAATACCTATTACTTTTAATTTTAATGAAAAAGTTCAGTAATAAATATAGTGGGGGTGGGGACAATACTAAAAATATTTTCCATCACAAGTAAAAGTTTGTCTTTAAACAATTTTATATAGCACTGAATCATTTTTTTACTTAAAATGAGAAAATAAAAATATCTTCTGTTTGATATTTAAACCAATTGAATTTTTTCAACTCCTAATGTATGGCCGCGATTTGAACCACTTTTACAACTTGGTTCACGTTACAAAATCTTGACCATTGATAATTGTTCTATTATTTTTTTTCTTTCAGGTTAAATGATTTGGAGACATAAATTGGAACTTTTTTCACGAGTTTATGGACAGCCAGGCATAACTGCGAACAACTGAATAAGATATCATTTTCACTTCATGAAGCTGTCTTGAAATATTCCAGATGTTAGACTGAAGCGATTGCTTCCTTGTTATTCAACATGAACAATGAAGATAGTGTGTGTTCAGCGCTAGATAATAATACAGTGTTACAGCCAGGAGAACATTTAGTGAAAAATTCGAACACTCGTCAAGGTCTGGGAGCTTATTCCAGTCAGCAAGATGAAGAAATTGATGCTTTGCATGAAGGGAAGGAGGGTGGTACAGGACAAAACAGTATGACTATGTCTTATGGTGAAATCACTCTAGATCAAGAATTGCGGAATTGTAGAAAGAGCAGCAAAAGCCCAGAATCTGAAACAGCTGATGAGCATCTTGAGAAAATAAAACAATACGGCTTTGACTCGGCTTTTCAGCAAATGTCCGACTCCATCGAGCATGATGCTGCCTCGGAATGTGAGGATAAAATTATAAGAGAGGATTCTGAGCGTGAGGATATTGATGAAGATGTCATGTCCGGCTCCTACGGAGAGATTTCTTTGGATCGGGAGTTGCTCAGCTCAAACAAGAATAGTGATTCCCCTAGTAGTAAGGAGGATTTAAAAATGGATGAGAATAAATTGACAGAGGACACTGTTAAGGAGAAAAGGAGGCCGGATAGTTTAGTTTTGACTCAAAATCCGTTAAGTCATAATGAGTATGTTGGTACAAGTAGAGAAGAAGGCGTTCAACAAATGCACAAAAGCCAGCAGACGTCAGAGTGTCGCACTAGCGCCGAGGTCTCCCCTTCACTTAGCTCAGAGGAGTATGCCTTACATTCCATGGGTCATGCCCGTAGTGGGAGTGACACAAGCGGCCTTTCTGAATTGCAGGGTACACTGACTGTTGACGGTGACCTGGTCACTTTTGTTGCTGAGGATTTGCAAGAGAAGATCAAAATGAGTAGTCCTGTTTCACGTGTCACGGGTAAGTGTTTTAAGGTTAAGCTTGAAGGTGAAAGTGCTAATGTTATATCTCTCTCCTAGGGTTTATGCACGGATGAAAGACTTCCGCGAAAAAGCAGAAATCCGCTTTTTTCTCCCAATTTTTTAAATATGAAGATGCAGAGTATAGCAGTTTTGGTTATCATTTCAATTAATGTTATTATAAAGCTTTTTTAAAATTTATTGTTGTGTTTTTGTCGAAGAAAATGGTAACTTCGTTAAGTCATGAAAAATTCTTGAAATTAGTCATGGATTTGAAAATATAAAATTTAGCAGATACCCTGTGTAAGAGAACGACACTCTCTATGTCTCTCATCCTCTGACACTCAGGTCAGGGATCATTCAAATGCATGGGAGTGGAATCAGAATTCTGATAAACGTCATTAGCAATTCAGCTTGGCAAAAATTAATTAGATGCTAACAGTGAGAGTTATGTGAATTCTATAGCTTGCACATTTTATTTTTTCTACTCATTTCTAATTTTATGGTTGGAAATGAGCGGTAACAGAAAATCTTGAAAAAATAAATAAATAAAATGCTTAATTTTCCTATTGTGATTTTTATGTGTTTCCTTTTTAATCGTTGCTTTTAGGCATTTTATTTTCAACTGTTATTTTTTATACGTTTTGCATGCGCTGTTTTCGGATCATTAGTGACCTATTACCAACTCTTGGTTGACATAAAAATATTTTTGTTGGTATAATAATTTTGTGATGTTGATAAATCTAATAATAAGGTGAGCTTGAAAAAAATTTTCATAAACCATACATGTTGCAATGTGTTAATGCTGTAAACCATAAATGTTGCAATAAAATTGGAAAGTGCACTGCAAGAGAGTATGCTGTAACTTAATGTGAGGGAAAAGTCGAAAAAATTTCTCACCCTTGAAACACACTTTGTATAAGCAAAATAAGTGAATGAGATTTTAGGCCATCAACTGTACAATATAAAATTGTACAACTGTACAGTAAAAATTTTTTAATTTTAATTGTTTGAATATTAAGTGTTAAATCCGAAATGATAGGCGTACTTATATATTTGACAAAACTAATGGCAACTATTTCATAAAACTCGGCATGTGTCGGAGGGGAGAAATGAAGTCTACATATGAACAAAACATAGAGATAGGTATGCAAACTTTATTTTGCTCCCTGTTATTGGGGATTGCTGTGCTAATGCAAATTATATTTTGGTAGAAACATATCGGAGCGCCATTGTCATCGGGCTAACCGTGAAAGATTTTATAGTTTATTTGCATAAATGCTGAAGATAAAGGTGACTTTCTTTTTTACACAGATGTCTTCTTTTTTACTTGAAACTGCATTCTTTTTCATGAAAAATTGAAAGTAACTTGCATTTCAACAAATATACCTAGATATTTTTTGTATTAAAACTAATAAAAATACTTGTATTTAATTTCAGAAATACCTTTAACTGTAGCAAAATGACATAACATTTTGATCACAATCTATTTAAAATAATACTTTTTTTAAAATAAAAAATTACCCAATTCTCGCCAATTAAAGCGATACATACGGTGAAGCATCTACTCCGTAGAAGTTGAGCTCATGCTGCCTCTAAATCATTTGTGATATGTTTTGCACTAACAAGGCTAGAGGAAATTTTATACCAGTTTGTTTCAAATTAAGGTTGTTAAAATTTCATTCCATGAATATAAGCCTAAATGTATGTATATGTATTTTATCTTCTCAAACAAAATTATATTTGATGAAAATTATTAAAAATCGCCCATGAAAACAACCAAATGGTTCACACATAAATCATTAAAATCTTCCTTTATAAAAGAGGTAGAATTAAATAAAAAAAAACTCAAAAATGTTTTGAGTTATGCCTTTACAAATATACTAAACACATAAAGATTGAATAAAAAAGGAGGAATGTATAAATTTTAACCCTCATTTACTCAAATTCACTAAAGTGTCACTTAATTAGTACTTTCACTAAGCTCTTTATTAGAATTTTTATATTCATTTGTTCATTAATATGTAAATAATATACACTTTAGTTTTGAAATAATTTATAGTTATCTAAAAATATCTGTAATTATCAATTTTCTTTTAAACTTATTTTGATCTATTTTTATATTTATGAACCTATTTTCGAGGGTAAGGAAATTCTGGTTCGGAAAATTCTTATTGTATGTAATGATGCGCTGATTTGTGATCTACTTGTTTCGATATTAATTTTTTATTTGTAAACATTAAGTAGTTCCCCTTAACTTTTATAGTTGTGGACAAAGTAGTAAATAACAAGGTTTTTTTTTTGTTGCTCTTCTTTGATCCTTCTTAAAAATAGTTTACGTGTGTACTGTACCAATAGATGTTTTAACTTTTTTTGCTAAATGTTGTTCTGATTTTTATTTTAAACCACTAGGTAGCAGGCTGTTTCATCATAAAAATCATTTAATTATTTAAATATCTATAATTTAGTCTTATTTCTAATCACATTTTTTTTTCATAGCTGCAAGATGTTTTTAAATGTACTGAAAACTCTTTCTATAATCTGTGATAAGCGATTCTAATAATTTAGAATTTTTTATCTTAACATTGTATGGTGGTTTGAACATTTATGATGGTTTTGAGCCGGAATCTCATTCAGTCTCAAAATCTTTTACCCAAATTGTACCTGATCCATAGCATGTATAGTTTGAAATCGTTCACAATCAATCCTTTTTTAGATATTTTAAAAGAAAGTGATTGCAACTTTTAATATTGAAAATTTTGTATTAAAGTATTTAATTAAATGTGATTTAATGCGATGTTTTTCAATTTTATAAATATCTTAAAATTATATTTTTGTAAGTGATTTTGTTGATAATTCCTACAACTTGGATTACTTTTTTTTTTTACCTTTAAATAACAATGAGAAATATTTATATTTCGCTTTTACTGTAAAAATTATTTTACCTATTTCATTACTTTACAAAATTTGCATATCTTATGATTTTATATTTTTTGAAAAATGTGCTTACATAACTTTAAATCTTTGTATGTTACAATTATTAATTATTCACAAAGTTTAAGGTAGTTTTTACGTTAAAAATATAACCTTTTTATGAAAATGATTGCTAACGTGGCATATTTAATTGCAAAAATGTTCAAATTTGTTGTGATAAATCTGTTCTATCCGAAATTTTTTTCCATGTTTAGGAAGTTTTGAAATTATTTGAAATGTAGTATTCCTACATTTTTCTGAAATAATTTTGAAAAGTTGTATTCATTATTTTTTTTTTATTAAGTAGAATTTATTAAATGTTTTTGAAAGTAATAAAGAACACTTTCCAGTAAAAAGGTTAACTTGTATTGTTTATTTAGTTCTAAAAATATTTGCAATTGATTAACCTGTTAAATTTATTTTATATTTTCTTTAAAAAAGTTTTACCCATTTTTATTGCAACAATTTTCTTAGGTTTAATATTGTTATTAATTACAAATGTAATTTATAAATTGTTTTCCAATAGATACCTCCTCATTTCCTGGCTCTCGTTCTTCTACTCCAAGCCTCTACAGGCAAGCGCTGCAACCGCAATTTCATATTGTTGACCCCCATGTGATATCAGATCTCGAAGCACAAGCAAAAAAAGTTGCAACTGTCATTGATACAATGCTAGAGAATCTGAGTGAAACGTTACAAAGTGTAAGTTCACCACATTTTTTCAGGTGCAGACTTTACAAACGTAGGTGGGCGAGCAACAATGAATAGTGACAAGTTATCTAAAAATAAATAAATAAATAAAATTTCAACATTTGTTTAGAATTACAGTTTATGCATAGCAGAATATGAAATAATAATTTCACTCATTGCTTTGACATTCTGTAAAATAATAAACTGAAAACCAGCAAAAGAAACTGATTTTTTTTTCATTCCTAGAATTCACTATGTTTCAAAAATAGCAAAAAAAAGCTACAGTAGAGAACCGATTATCCGGAACGATCGGGACTATCGCTATTCCGGATAACTGATTTTTCCGGTTTTCTGAATCGCTACAAAAAGCCGTTTTTTTAGTGTTAAACCCTGGA